CATTCCCATCATGTGGAAGAACACAATATGGCGGGGGGGTGGATGGTTTGCGGTGGGAACACCTCGCTAACCTATTTTGCTGACATGGCTACCCAGCCCAACTTGGATCACGCAAAATAACAGTGTCCCTTCTCATTATGAATGCAATCTTATCCAAAGGTCAAGTGCTGCTTTCATCCAGAGCCCAAGAGAGCTTTTTTGGAAGCTCTGAACCAAAGGTGCCCTTGAGGGCTGCATATCCACTGTGGTAGAGTGTGAAACAGGGCCGCCAGATCCTGAACACGCACAGTCAAGAGTAAATAGCCCTGGAAGGACATTTATAGACTCAGGGGACATTGCTGGAAAACATATTATTGAAGCTTTCCCTGATAAAGGTGACAACGTTTCTTTACGACTGTCATGGGGATTTAATTACATGATAAAATTGCAGCTCCTGCCTCTTGAGACAAATTGCATGTTAAGACTGATTGTTTTTTATGAATCTCACACTGAGAGCGAAATACTTCTCTCTTGAAGTTGCTTTGATCTGATCGTTATGTCCTGTCACCCTTCATATCCCTTCTAGATACGAGAACTTGGCTAATCCTGCGGTTGAAGAAGGGGGGCTCCCGGTGGGCTTGCTTGGTTGCTTTGCTGCTTGGCATGGAGCAGAGTGGGGCCAGTTTTGTCTGATGGATTTAAAGTTGGCTTCACTCATTTTTTAGTTGGTAAGAAATGAGAACTTTGGGCTTCCAACGGAAAGATAGGAAAAAGGCATTAAAAGAAATGAAAATGACTATTACAGACATATATAATATATAATTTTACTAATTGCAAAGGCAAGTTAAAATAAGATTTTTTAAAAAAGATTTATTTATTTATTTATTTGACGGAGAGAGAGAGATCACAAGCAGGCAGAGAGGCAGGCAGAGAGAGAGGGGGAGAAGCAGACTCCCTGCCAAGCAGAGAGCCCGACGCGGGGCTCGATCCCAGGACCCTGAGATCATGACCTGAGCCGAAGGCAGAGGCTTAATCCACTGAGCCACTCAGGCGCCCCTAAAATAATATTTTTTTAAAAGTCAAATTTTGGAAAGCTTCAACGAAACTGATGCTTCTTAATTTGCAGGTAGAAGGGTACATTTCTGTGCAATTTGGAAATATTCTATGTTGAGCTGATACATATGGGGGATTTTCCAGGTGCTAGCAGCCTAGCAGCCTACAGAGGCAAAGAGTAGAAGCCCTTGCCTGTAGGAAGTGTTGCACTTTGTGGAGAGATAGATGAGGCAACCAGTAACTAGTGAGCAGGATGAGATCATTGCCAATGACAGGTGCAGGTCTGATGGGTAGAATGCAACAAACAGAGCATTATAGTGATGGGAAGTAGGGATGGGTCAGACTTTCTCCACAGGAGGCATCTGAGCAAAGCACAGAGGGGGTTGAGGTACAAGGCTAGCTCATGTCCCTTGGAGGGTGTCTGTTTCCTTTCCTTAACCTATAGTGGGGATGAGCAACTGTACCCTATTATTTTTGGCTGAGCAAGAGGCAAGGTGTAGCCTCAGAGCTGCATTGCATGGGGCCATGAGTGCCTTCTGGAAGGGGGGTCAGGCAGAGGAAGAGTTGTGGGTAGTAAAGAAAAGCAGCATCCAGCAGGCCCAGGGGGTCAGAACATAAGTGAGTGGCAGGGATTAGACCTTTGTTGGACATGGAGAGGGGTCGCCCAGACCCTACTCTTAGGGAGGAGTTGTTACCCTGATGCAACTCCTTCGGGGTTTGTCTCAGCTGTAGAGAGCTGCCTTACTCCAGAATACACCTCTCAAGGCAGCCAGATCCCATGACCACTTAGGTATGTGGAGAGGTCCTGATATCTTGACCCAATGTGGGAAAACTGTGAGAAGGGTCTCCGCTCCAGAGCTCCCCTAGGGTTGGCTACACATGGCACTGTGCCTCCTGTGTCACAGATCAACTTCTCCTCTGCCAGTCTGATTTTCTCCCTCTCTTCACAGGTGTTCATGCCCTGCAAATATCCTGTGAGGCAAACTCCACTCAGCATCAGACTGTGAGCTCCTGAGTTTCTTGGACCACCTGGAAGGATGGAGGGTGGGTGTGTGTTGTTAGAGCGGGTGAAGACAGGAGAGCAGAGAGATGGCCTGCTCAAGAGCCAAGAAGGGTGAAGGGATTGATAGTGTCATTGGGGTATTTTTTTTTAAAGATTTTATTGATTTATTTGACACAGAGAGAGCGAGCGAGTGAGAGAGACAGAGAGCGAGCACCAGCAGGGGGAACAGCAGGCAGGGGAGAAGCAGGCTTCCTGCTGATCAAGGAGCCTGATGTGGGTTTGATCCCAGGCCCCCAGGATCATGACCTGAACCAAAGGCAGGCACTTCATTGGCTGAGCCATCCAGGCTCCCCTAGGGGATGGTTTTAACCAGAGTTCCTAACCACTAGTTAAGCACCTGGGAATTTTTTTTTTTGTCTCAATTTGCCATGGGTTGATTCTTTTTTAAAGTACAATTAAAATTAATTACAAGAAAAAATATAATAGAAAAAAGTCCAGTCTGGCAATCACACACTGTCATATTGTTAAGTTGCTGTCAATATTTTTAAAAGCTTACTGTCAATTTCCATGGCAAACACTTGGCAGAGTGTCATCTGCCTCTCACTGTGCTCTGACTAGAGCTATTTTCCATCACTCACCGGGGTACAGGGCTGGTGAAAGGATGCTGGCAGAAGTGCTTAAGGGTAAGTTAGCTCCTGGCACATCTTTCAGGCCCTTGAACACTTGCTATAAAATTTGAACTAGAAGGTATTGGACAGAGGTCACTAGACTTTTTCTGCAAAGTGCCAGAAAGCAAACATTTTAGGTTTTGTAGGTCGTATGGTCCCTGTGGCAACTTCAGCTCTGCCATGATAGAATGAAAGTAGTCATTGATAATATGTAAATGAATGAGCACAGCCAATCAAACCTTACTTGTAAAAACTGGCAGCCAGGACTAGGACCATAATTTGTTGGCCTTTGCTGTAGGCAGTAGGGAGCCACTGCAGGTTTGTGGGAAGGGGAGAGACAGGCACCTTCAAATAGGAAACAGTCATTGCACTCTTCTCTCTGTGTGCCTTTCCCACTCCTCACTTGAGTGAACCTGCTCTCTCCTCTCAAGGCAAGCTCAACTCAACAACACTCAGCAGAGCATCCAGGTACCCTGGCACACATTTGACATATTTTCCTCACTTATATCTCTCTTCTGGTTTGCTGAACTTCTTGAATCTGTAAATTTATGTCTTTCATCAAACTTGGGAAATGATTGGAATCTATTTCTTAAAATATTTCTTCTGCTCCATTATCTTCCTTCTCTCTTTCTTGGACTCCATTTGGCTATATTGGATCTTCTATATTGTCCCACAGTCTCTGTTCATTTTCTTTTCTATCATTTTACTTGCTGTTCTTCAGGTTGGATACTTTCTGTTGATCTATTTTCAAATTCATAGACCCTCTTCTGTTAAGCCCATTGTTGACTACAACAAAGCCAACTCTAACTTCAAGAGCGGTGGGTGAGTTGTATTGCCTTAAGGACTCAATTAATAGAGAAGGAAGCACCTCCTTGGCCCCAGTCTCTCCACTGCCATCCTTCCTATTAGAAGATCTCATTCCATTGCTGAATGGATCCTCACTGCCTTTCCAAGATAAGTGTAAACCCTCGTCTAGAATTTGTGGTCTCATGTTGTGCTATCTATCCCAACTTACTTGTCTCTACTTTTCTCCCCCTACTCTGATTTACACAGCCTCATTTCCAGGCAGGTCCCTCTTCATTGCATAGGGTGTTGTGCCCCAGCATGCTTCACTTTTTCTCAATCTACTCCCTTTATTTGGATTCCCTTGCTTTTGATCACAGCTTGTTGAGAACATATCCATCTATCAAGGACCAGCCCAAGAGAATTTTAGTGTCCCCCATATGTTATGTGGCCTGTTAATATTTATCATGTACCTACTGTGTGCCAGAATATGGTGAATAGGACAAACCCAGTCCCCGTTCATATCCAGATGCTGAATTCAGTATTGGAAGATAATGGGCAATGAGATGGAGAAGTAGAACCAAGCTACAGGTAGTCATTTGCCACTTCCAATTAGTGCCTTAGGAATGTTTTTCCTGAACAGAGCTCACCATTGCAGGAACCGCCATCCTCCTGGGAAGGAGAAAAGCCTCTTTGCTATCATCCTCATTTCTTTTTGTTCTTTCAAAACTCTCCAGTGTGCTTGGGAGTGATGCTAATAGAAGTATGTCATCAGCATACATTATTTCTTTATTAGCCTGTTTCTCAATTTTGATTCTGAAAATATCCTGATTTAGTCTAATTGCAATTTCACTGTGTTCCACAGGCAGTGACAATTCATACTGGGGGAGCTGAGACATGACCCTGTAGGATTTTTCTTCCTGCCCCATATGCTCTGAAGCTGGACCATTAGCTCTAAGGCATGCATCTCATCTCATCACAGTGACTCAACCTGCTTCTGGGGAAGAAGAGAGCCTAGGGTGTGTATCTGGTTGAAAGCAAAGAGATATCTTTATTCTAGGTGGTGGGAGATATTTTTCTGTATCTAAAGCAAAGGCTAGAGCCATTTTATTCCTAAATAATTTAACTATATTCAAAGATAATCTGATGTTATTGTAGGAAAGTGTATTTCTAATAAATTCCACTTGATCTGGGTGAATCAATTCAGGCAGCGCATAATTGAGTCTGTTAGCAAGGACTTTAGCAAGAATTTTGCAATCAGTGTTAATTAAGAAGATGGGACAATAATTTGTGCATAATTCCGGATCTTTTCCTGGCTTGTGAATCAAAGTAATAAGAGCAATGCTCCGGCTGGTGGTGGGATAGTGTCATTAGGTGCTGATTTATAAGTACTTAGAAAGGTTTAATTTCATTTTGCTTCGAGCAGGGTCTCCCTGCCCCCACATCGTCTGCTTAGGGTGTGCAGCCGAGATGGTGGAATGCTTCCCTCTCTATCCTTCCCTGTCACCGCTGACCTCCTGCTTTCCATTTCTGTTTTATTTGGCAGCCAAGGACCCCATTTATTCATCCATGTTTTTTCTTAATACTCTTACTTGAATTATTTGAAGCCAGAGACTCCATGCTATTGATGTGTGTGGGCATGAGTATATATGTATGTAAGGTAAAGTAAAAGGGCTGTATGCAGCTTCAGTGGGGGAAATTTGTTCATGGATCTTCCTGAAAAATGTGTCTGGGTGGGTACGTATCAAGAGCCTTTGACTAAAACTCAGGAAACATACCTTGTTTATACACTGCTGCTAACTGGCTGTTGACCAATGGAGTAACAAATGTGAGCCTCAGTGTCTCCATCTGTAAAATGCAGCTGTAAGATGGGTGAACTACAGGTATCATGGAATTCTGGGAAGAGTGTTGGATTTATACTTTCCACCAGCTGTGAGGCCTCGGGTGTGTAACATACCCTCTTAGAGCCCCGTTTTCCTCAGCTGGGTAAGCAGGAAAGACAATAGCCCTTGGGAAATACGGACTTAATGAAGGTCCTTGATACCGTGAGTCCTCTCTCTTTGCCTCCACTTAGGGTTGGTTCCAGTTCTAACATGTTCTGGTTTGGGGATGTATTCTCCCTAAAGATTAGAACAGGTTGGACTTGTGCCAAGCCGCTGCTTATTTGGTGCATTCAAGTTCATAAATCAGTCTCCCACCACGCTCCAGGAGAAACCTTCTTTCTCCCATTGTTGTGGAGTTAGCCATTCCTTTGCATGTGGGGTGGGGTCTACAAAGGGCTCTGTTTGGATGCTCCAGGCTTCCAAAGGCAACGGGGTTTTGTTAATGGCCTCCACAAACACAAGTCATTGGTCTCAAAACCTTAGCACAATTTATAAAGACCCTGAGAGATGAGCCAACCAACCCCATGTTTTTAAAGTGAGGATATTAAGGTTCAGAGAGATGGACTGACAAGTTCAAGGCCATGGAGGCAGTGGTAGAACCAAGGCAAGAACTGGGTCATCTCACTGTTAGTTTCTTGCTATCCCCAGCACACCATTCTCAGAGCCACCAGCAACATACATGCTTCTGTCATTACTTCAGATATGACTCCTACAAGGGAGGGGCTGTGCTCATTTCACTGACATTTGACTGTTGGGTTTGTCCTGGGTGATGTTCTCCTCCATGCACAGGGAAGGGGTGGCAGATGTGGCCCAAAGTGATGGTGGACTCAGTGTCAAACCTACAGGGGTGCTGGCTGGGTGAGAATTTGCATTGCACAAACAGACCCCATTTTGACGTGTATGCATATGCCTATCAAACATTCCCCACAATCACTCCCCAAGTGTATACATGCTGCTGGGTGCGATCTCTTAATAAAAACCCAATTAGTATTTCTTTAACTTGCCTCCAGATGCTTAAATACCATTACCCCGAACACAACATAATGTCTCTAGTTTTCTGTTTCAATCAAGAATTCAAGTAGCATCTTGACTTGTATATAATATATCAGCAGCAAAATCATGGAATGCTGACATCCTTAATAATAGCAATTAGTAATCAGTTGTTTCTTAAGTAGTTTGATTACACCAGTTACCAAATTGTACAGTAGATGCATTTGGGGGCAAGAAGGGTCTCGCCACCCCTCCCCCAGCCATCCTTTCTCCCTTTCCATCTTCTTGGTGGTTAGTGAACTGATAGGCATTGAAAGATGTGAGGACAAATGATGCAATCGTCACTAATATTAAAATATTATCCAAAAGTAGAATTAAATATTTCTTTACAGAAAGTCTAACCCCAGTAGTATCCATAGGAAGGCAATCCGTCATGTCAGCAAAAGAGCTTAGACTATCTGTGCTAGGCAGCACACACAGACTTTGAGCTCCTTCTCAGAGCAAAGACCCTGTGCTAGGCTCTGGGTACCAATATGTGTTCAGTAAGGTTCTCACCTTCAAGGAGTTGTTTTTAAGTTTTAAATATCTGGTGGGTATAGCAATTAGCCCAGCAAGGCCATGTGTTTCCATAACTAATGGAGACTGAGGCCATTGTGTCTTTATGGAGGAGGAGAGTCTGTGGGCCAGGTGAACAGGGATGGTCCTCTAGTGGAGGCCATCCACTGAGCAGGCTCTGGAAGGAAGGTGTGGCCTAGGTGAGCAAAGGAGGTCCTCACGTGCCTCAGAATTTGGGTGCAGCCCTGGTGGGGAGGTTCCTATTGGAATGGGGTGGATGGCATAGATGGGGGAGTTGATTATTGGATAGCTGTGTGCTTGGTCCTGTTCACCTTCTCTCTCTCTCTCTCTCTCTCTCTCTCTCTCTCTCTCTCTCTTACGCACACACACACACACAGAGGTGGGGGGAATGCCCCATTCCTGGTCCATCCCAGTCCATCCTTGCAGGGGACATGTGAATAGTGTCTTTAGGGAAATCCCAGCCAATGACCTTTCCCCTGCCTGTCTGCCAACTGTGTACAGAGGACACATGCTGCACTTTGTCCCATGATCTGTTAGGGCTAAAATTTCAAGTTCCTCTGACCTCAGCCCTCATCAAGGGGGGGCATCTACACCTGGGGAAACTTCTCCAGAAAAAGCTCCTCCCACCATTTTCTCAGCTGGTGCCTCCTTTTCTCATGCTTTTATTGTGATGCTGACATGATGCATTGGAATAAATTATTATTGTTGTTTTGTGTTCCCTTTGGTTGAATAGTAAGTTCCTAGTGCAATGAACATGGGGAGTTCACTGACAGATAAGGTCCTTGTGTGTTCATAGTGAAAAGCACAGGAGAGAGAATGGTTACTTTTCTTTTTCTTATTTTTGCAGATCGTCATCTTTGGAACTAGACTCAAAAACCTGTAACCAGGGTTGTTCTTGGGATGGAAACTTTCCTCCTCTCCCCTAAATGCATTTGCCAACATGCATCTTGGCTCCTGCCTCTCCTGACCTGAGTGGGCATTCCAGGTGCTGGTCCTCGCTGGCCCAGCCCCATATCCCATCTTCCTATTTCTCCCCTGGAGGAGAATAAGTTCTTCACAGTATCCATTTCCAGTATGGGCTGTATTTCAGCATATTGCCATAAGTTCTGACCACTCTTCAAGCATTCTAAAGACCTCACATGTATATTTAAATCCAAACAGCTCTTGTTTCTGACAAAGATAGTCCTCAAGTACTCAAAGTTGCCTTGAGAAAGAGCTCATTTGCTCTCACACTCAGCAAAAAGGAACTCATGCTTCACTGCAGGCTGTGACAATGAATCTTTGGGATCATTGCCCCAGAGAAGCACAGAGATGATGGGACCTCAACATTGATCCAAGTCAGCGTTTCCCAAGAAGCACCTACAAACTACCAATTCCCCTGGTGACAAAACCACACCAAGCCTTTAATATACCATTGTGCCAAACTCCAAGCGTATGATTCTGCAGGAAGCATCTCCCAAGTTCATTCCATCATGGACCTCTGTTTGGGAAGCCCTCATTGAATCTCATGTCACTGGCCCAGAAAGGGAAAGAGACTTTCCTAAGGTCACACAGCTCATTGGTGGCAGAGCCCAAGTTCCCTTCTTGAATATCCCGCTCCATGGCGGGAGCTTCTCCAGACCCCTGGTGACCGCTCGGGGCTGATGTGCCTGGGCTGTGAGCCTGGGAGTCATCCCTCATATCACTCTTGTTTATGTTCTCCACTCTCCCTGTTGCCAGGCACACAGTAGGGGCTCAGCACACTGTCACAATTAGGTCCCTCTGTTTTTGGTCTCCATTGGTAGCACCAGCCTCTACTTGTCACCAAGACCTTCCCATGGACCCACCCATGCAGTTCTCATCTTTATCACTGACCTTTGTGTTTATCCTGCTCTCTTGGTTGAGACCCTTGTCATCTCTCACCTATAAACTGTCTTCAGTCACCTTCTAATTAGGCTCTCCTTCCCTTTCTTGTTTCCTTCAAATACTGTTTTCACATCATGCCCGGAGCAGCATGCCCAGAACACAAGACTGAGCACACTGCACGCTCTGCCTTGGATTCAAGGCCAGTCCTCTTTCCCTATAATAGAGTCACTGGTAACAAGATGTGCCTTAATCATTCAGGGTATGATCACCCTGAAATGAAAACAACCCTGAAGCAACCCAAGCCCTTAAAACATGTCATCAGCAACGAATTGTTCTTGCCTTTCTAAATGGTGCACTTCAGCAGGGAGAAGTATATACATATATGATTTAGGATGTAATGGGTTCATTGTGGGAAGGAACAAAACTCTCTTAAAACAAATGTCACTGCTTTCAAGTGTCCAGCAGAGTTGTGGTGGTTGGGGGACAGTGAAGATGGGGCAGGGCAATTAGTAATGTGAAAAGAATGATATTTTAAATTGCGGATTCCAAATACACACATCCCCAACCAGCATTGATGGCTTTGTAAAAGGGGATGTCGAGGGGGGACTTGCTTTTAAGCATAGCAGAAAACAGAGGGCATGACCATGGGATGTAACAAATGTAGGCGGGGTTCAGGGATGGCAACCAGGCGTGGCATAGACAAAGGGGGAACCCTCATCCCTGTGTCTGAAGGGGCAAGATGGGAGGTGAGAGCTGTCAGCCAGGAGCTGAGCTTTTGGCACAAGGATAAAGCCATTTGCTGCATCCAACAGGGGTCAGAGTGCATGAGGCAGGTGATGCAGTTCAGAAGGTCAGCTTCATAGATGGGCACAGGGCAGACAGGGTGAGGTAGGGAGGGTGGCAAACGCAAAACATAGAGCTCAGTGCTCCAGGAGAAATTGCAGTTTATGATGACCGAGTTCCCTCCTCACACGCCAGGGCAATCTCTTGCACTGGGCAGCGTCCCAGGTACTGGCTTGATGAGACCACAGTGCCTGTCTACGTGAAGCTAAGATCAGAACAGAGGCGTGTTGTTCTTTGGGCTTGTGGCTCCTGGACCCTTACCCTGATCATGGCCACAGATACTAGGAAAACCAAGGAAAAGAAGAAGCAGGAGATGTTTTCTCCCTATAGCCTAATGCAGCTCGCTTAACTCCCCAGTGAAAGGCAGCCAAGGGGGTACACCCATGCCATGAGGGAGCAGAGCGATTGTCACCCCCATCCAGACTGATCTGGATCTCCCTCTTCATCACATGAAAGCCCCACTGGCTAGCACCAATGTCCCGTGAACACTCCTTTTTGATATATTTTCTGCTCGTGGGAGCATGTGTGTATGTGTGAATGTGAGTGTGTGTGTGTGTGTGTGTGTGTGTGCAGGTGTACATGTGTGTACATGCAGGCATGTATGACAGGACTCAGTCTAGTGGGTTGACAAGAGCCTTCTGTACACCTTGTAGGGGCCAAGCACCTCTGACAAGCTAGAACACAGCCCTCATATGTGCAGCATAAGGAATAGCATGGAGGACATTAGGAGAATGAAGGGAATACTGAAGTGGGGGAATCAGAGGGGAGACAAACCATGAGAGACTGTGGACTCTGAGAAACAAACTGAGGGTTTTTTGGGGGAGAGGGGTGGAATGATGGGTGAGCCCGGTGGTGGGTATTAAGGAGGGCACAGATTGCATGGAGCACTGGGTGTTATATGCAAACAATGAATTATGGAACACTACATCAAAAACTAATGATGTACTGTATGGTGACTAACATAACACAATAAAAAAAGAAAGGAAATCTTGCACCAGGGCAAATAGTTCCATTTTTTATACAAAGAAGTTCTGCAAAATGACAAAAAAAAAAAAAAAAAAAAAAAAAAAAAAGAAATGGGAAGAGATTGCCTCCCTGAATAGACACATCCCATGTGTACAGGTCTACAAAGAAAAAGAAAGCCCTGTGGCTAAGACTTTGTCCTGACCTGTACCAGAAGGATGGGTGGGCAGGCAGAGGACAAGGACCAGTGCACGCTTTTTCAGTTGCTGGCTCAAGGATAAATATTCACCACCAGCAATGTTCAGGATGTGGTGAGACACACGTTCTCACTGTCAGAGGAAATGGAAACCCTTTTAGAAAGCAGTTTGTTAACTTTTCTGTCCTTGTTTTCTTGTCCTTGTAATTCTGCTCCTAGGAATTTATTTTAAGACTATAACTTGATGTGTTACAGGTAAACAATGAATCATGGAACACTACATCAAACTCTAATGATGTATGGGACTAACATAACACAATAAAAAAATAAATTATTAAAAAAAGGATATTACCTGAATAGGAAAAAAAAAACCACCATACGAAGGCTGATAAAGATGCTAATTATGGCATTAATTATGGTAGTAAAAATGTAAACAAATATTCCTTTCTTGTTGGCATTCGGTTTAAGTATTTTGTGATTAATCACCTCAATAGGTGATTGAAATTAAGAACACTATGTAGCGTCATGGAAAATACTTTAGATATATTAACTCAACAGAGCAGAACACAAAATTAACATCGCGGACATGGCTATAAGGGAGGGGGGAAATCTACACATGCAGAAAAAGTGGAGAAATGGAAACAGGTGTGTGGGAGGACGGGGGCCCCAGGAGTGCTTGTCCTCTATTTAAATTGTTTGTAGCAGGTACCAGGGGTTGCATAGCAACACACATGGTGCATGCAGCCAAGTGTGTACGTATATAAACAAGAACCAGACAGGCAAGCCTCCAGCATGTGCCATTTTCACCCATTCACCCTTCCACCTCCAGGAACAGCCCACCCCTCATGATGGGGAATTCGGTGTCAGACACACGCTGGTTACCTACGAGCGCGCCAACGGGCAGCTGAGCCGCGGGGTCCTTCATCCAGTCATCATTGTCCAGTTCTATCACGGCGTCCACGTGCCCCACTTCTGTGCAGATCAAGTGGCTCACCCTCTCCTCATCCCTGGCGTCCAGGGCAGACTTTAATCTCCTCACTAAATCTGAGTGGAGCGGGTAATCCGGAAGGCGATCAGAGTTGGACATCGTCATGCTGTTTGTGCATGGACCAAACTTCTCAACTGAGTCCAAAGGTAGCAGCTGTGGCGCGCAGGGCACTGTGGGCGTTGCTTTAAATAGAACAAACCCGGCTCGCCTTTCAGCTGCTGGGGAGGGCCATTGGCTGGCAGCCCTTTTCTTCACAGGGCCACGGGAATCAAGCTTCCTAAAGGTCTCCGGTTAAGATTATTCTAGGGATGGGGCAGTAGACATGTTGGTAAGTGGAGGAAGAAGATAAGGGGACAACATTTTAAAAGAGAACTCTCATAGGTACTGTTGTGCAATGCCCTCTTTCAGCAAAAGTGAGATTTTTTCGTGAAACTGATTGAAAGGGGAAGTATTACCCAGTGGTCCACTTTCCTTCTTTCCCTGAACATTGACATGATGTGTGGAGATGTGGCAACCATATTATAGCCATGAGGTGAGAGTCAAGAGTGAAGGATCAACATACTGAGGAGAATGGAATAGAAGGAGGGGAAGAGATGGCTTCTCAATGACATTTCTGGACCTTTGCTTTAGCTCTGGGCCGCCAACCACCAGACTTCCCATCTTTATTCCTTAAGCACTGTTCACGAGTTTTTGTTGACTTGCACCTCATAGTGTTTCTGGTTGATGTATTCAGTCTACCTTTAAAATCATGGCAATGTCCTGGTTTAATCTAGAGATGCAGCACAAGAATGTCATAAATAATGTGGATGATCTCCCCAAGCCTTCCGATCTCTGGCCCTTGAACTCTTGCCTTCCATGATAAAATCCCACTGTATGTTGCTTGGACAGCAGCCAACCCCAGAGTCTTTGAAGAAGGAGCAGTGGCATGGTGGGCTGGGGTCATCAATGAGCAAGTGGCCAATACCCCTTAATGGACTGCCTTCCAGTGTCACAGGAACTGAAAATAGACCTTGCTGGAGACATTCTGGGAATCTTGGAAATGGGTTTAAAATATTTTTTTTAATTAAAGACTTTTGTTTATTCATTTGACAGAGAGAGATCGCAAGTAGGCAGAGAGGCAGGCAGAGAGAGAAGGGGAAGTAGGCTCCCTGCTGAGCAGAGTCTGATGCGGGGCTCGATCCCAGGACCCTGAGATCACGACCTGAACCAAAAGCAGAGGCTTAACACACTGAGCCACCAGGTGCCCTGGAAATGGGTTTTTGAGATCTTAACTCAATGGATCAGTCTTCAGTTCAGATGTCTGACCAACTTGTCTAGAGGGTAGTTGCCCTCTGATTCTTCCTTTGGCCAAAGAATTATGAATTTTGACAGGAGAGATTTTTGAACCTGAATTTCCAGGTCCAAATGCTTGGCAGTATCAAATGTCTTACGTTTAGAAAGAAACATAACAACACAAGCACCATTTGTGTAAATGCAAAGAGAGGGAGGGTAGTGGCCAAAGGAAAATTATTGGAATTTGGTAAGGTAATTTGAAGAAAAAACCCGAGAATTATTGAGATTGCTATCAAACTTCAAATCAGAAGGGAGGTAAAGATGAAGCACTTGTTAGGCAGATAATAAGATGACAAAGCCTCAAAATATGGCACTCACTGATCTTAATTACCAAGCTATCTGCTGGGTGTTTAATCAGTAGCACATATACTATGCTAATTATTCTGGCTAATTTTGTTATAATGTAATTCTTTATCAACCCTGCTATGTATAAATTAGGAATTGAAATGTAACTAACACAAATTATATTTAAGGCAACATGAATTTCTTTATTTCAGTGTGAAATCTTTTAATCTCTATTTCTTCATCTTTTCTTTTTTTGATTAGCCCATGTGAACCACCCCCTCTACTGTCCACCCTGCCTCAGTGCCCAACAACCTGACTATTATTTGAAGAGAAAGGAGAGCCCAGCACGAACACTCCCCCCAACTTCTTGGAAATCTTATATATGACTATCTCCTTCAGTGATTGTCCTTGAAAGGTACAGAACGTATTTAAGCAATCAACGGTAGACAGATACTGGCTTTCTCTGAATGAGATAAAGGTTGTATCACTGTTCTACCTTAATGTTTAAATAATCATCAGAGGGTACCATAATTCACATATTTTCAGTGATATATTGTATGTGACTTATGTCAATTTGTTTACAAACGTGTTTAGTTGAGAACTAATAACACAGATCCTCACAGAAAAGCACAAACATTATCTAGAGGTTTTTTTTTTTTAATGTCATTTGAGCTTGCATCCAAATTAGGTCAGGCTGGTACAGAAGTTGGTGGAGCTGTGCAGAGCCCACTGGCATGCCTTCAGACACTGCCAGACACAGAGGTTTTAAAAAAAAAAAAAAGAATCAGTATTTTTGGTTTTGAATTATTTTGGAGCAAAATAACAATGCTTATTGAATAAAAGGGTACAGTGTGGTTCTAATTTAGTTTCAGCACCATCAGTGAGAGTCAGTTGCCAGCAGAGGGTCATGGTGTGGGAGAAATGGCCAGTCCGAAATACTCAGATCCCATTGTAACCTCAGGGTAAGGGACAAGCACTGGGCATATCCAGATTAACTCGAAGTGACCATGAAGTGAATCCACTTCTGATTTCTTCTTTGAGCCTGAAATGCCTCTGCTATTTCCTGAGGTTCTAGAGAACTACTCCTTTGACTTATAGGTTCCCACTAGGAGGCCCCAGTGGCTCATACTTCACCTTTGAATCCAGCAATGGACCTTCCCAGCTCAGGGTTGCCCTGGGGTTCCCTTCCCAGGCCGTACTCCCTCTCTCTCACCATTCTGTCCTCTCTCTGGATCCTGCAGCCTGGTTTCCAGAGTCTACCATTTCCCCGTTCCAGCAACACAGATGCTTCTCCCTGTGGTCAGAAGCTTTTTAATTTGGCTGAAGTTTCCTCTAAATCCCTTTTTAATGGGTCTGTCATAGGCTTTCAGGCCTGATGGTTTCAACCAGGATATTTGTGTGGAATGTATTTACCGTTGTGTGTCTGGACTGACTTGCCCATCAATCTCCTAGGCCATGGGGAGCCACTTTGTGAAGTGGCATTGTGATGTGGTCTTTATGGGCAGCTCTTTGTGCAAGGAGAAAACAGAAGCCCCTTTCATTCCCTTTGTATTTTTGGAGGCTTGAAACAACGCGATGGGATGTGGGCACAAATGAAATGTGATGAAAGCCATTTACAACTTTTGTAAGGTTTTTCTTTTTCTTTTTTTTCTTCTATTGGGGCATGATTTGTGATGGCACAAGGATGGAGTTGTACAACTGGAGATGCAGACATTTCCATTAATGAAACCCTCAAAGACAAAATAACAAATGAGTTTCATTCAATGAATACGTTTTGAGCCCTAGTGTATGGCAGGCTCTTCTCCATGTGCTAAGGGAGCATAAGATATGATATACTACGTACTGATTATATGGTTCGTGACACACACCAGGCACTCTTCTAAAGGTATTGCATACATAAACTCATTTTCTCCTGGTAACAATCTTGCAAAGTGGTGCTATCATTATTGCCACTGGGCAGAGGTAGAAACTGAGTAAGTGAAACAATTTGCTTTCTAAGTAGCGAAGCCGCTAAGTGACAAAGTCACACTACTGCTAAGTGGCAAAGATAAGATGCAAATAAGTACAGTCTAAGTGTGCTCCTTAAAACTCCAGGTCGAGCTTCTCAGTTGTCTGACTCCTCCCTGAAGATCCCATTCTGCTCCCCTGTAGTCTGTTTCATCCTCATCCTTCCTTTCTGTTATTTTGTCTTTTTTGAGATGGAGTCTTGTGAGAAAAGATGAGGAAACAATGGGAGGAAGGAGAAAGACACAAGGGCAAGGCATGCACCGAGAGTATTTGGGGAACTTTGGGAGAAAAAGGTCTATGAGCAACTGTCACGTATGCAGGAAGTGGACAAAGGAAGAAGGCATCTCTGGTTGCTGGATGGTGTTCCCTTAAGCCAGACATTGTGTTGAGACTGGACCACCAGGGTCATGGCTTCTTAAGAGTATTAACAGCTAATTACGTGTATCACTGCCATTGACCAAGTGACAGTGATGCATCCATCAAGCACGATGATGGGAGGTGGGAAGTTTGCCTTCTGAAAAGTAAACGTGGAAATCAACCTGATGGAAAGCAGACAGTGCAGTCACTTTGGGGGTGCAGAAGAACAGTTTGAGGGCAGCAATCTGCTTTCAAATTTTAACTCCTCCTAATTCAGATAATCTTAGCAATAAAGGAAAAGGAGAAAAATGGAGAAAATGTATGTCAGTGGTTGAACTTAGAGCAGACTGCATCACCATGACAAAAATTTTGAGCAATTCCTCTGAGAAATAGAGCAGGCAAGATTGAGAAAGGGCTGACTAGCTCACTGTGGGCATGACTGAAAGGAAATGCAGAGAGGAGCCCTGGGATGAGTATGGGACTGATCTTGCCTCCTCAGCAGGTTCAGAGAGGGGCCCTGAGAATCACGTGTGTCCAGAACACCAGCATCTCATGTCACATTCTATTCCTGATGCAGGCAGGGGACCCATTGGCTTCTCAGCAGGACAGTCATGTGTGTTTCAGAAAAGGGCCCCATATTGGCCATTTCAAACTAGGAACAATCCAAATGTCATCAACAGTAGAATGGATAGATAAACTGTGGTATATTCCCACAGCGGGTAAAGATAGAGTAACGAGGAGGAATATACCACCGTTACTTGCAATAAGGGCTTGACTCTCACAAATACAATGTTGAATTAATGAAAGTTGCCAGACACAAAAGAATAAATGCCATAGGACACAATTTGCCTAAAATTTAAAAACAGGCAAAGGTAAACTATAGGGATGGAAGTCAAGACACTGATGACTTTTTCAAGAGAAAGAGGAGGTAGTGAGCGGGAAGGGACATAGAGGAATTTCAAGCAGTGTTTTACTTCTTGAACTTCTTGATGGTTACGGGGTGTTTGAGATAATTCATCAGACTGTTATGTTGTCTCTGTGTGAACTTTTCCGTATGCATCTTGTACTTCATAATATAAAAGAGATAGTCATAGAATGTTTCAAAGAAAAAGGCAGCT